AATGAATGGGCTTGAGTTGGAGTATGTCTTGCATAGGAGTGCACTGTTAAAAGTAAAACTAGCTAACCCCAAAGCAGGGGCTGAAATATAGAGGTCTACTCAAGGCTACCGACTAAACTGGAATATGAAACAAGTCTGCCAGTTTAACTCTTATCTTCAGCAACACAGATTATAGAGTCCTTCGAATTCATAAAATGTGACTGGTACAAGAAGGTAGTTACTGGTGTGATTGTTTTGAATGAGTGGTCTTAGGCACTCTGTTAAAAGTTTTCTGATGCACTCTCTTTTGTAATCCTTGTCAAAATTAAGGATGGAGAAGGAAAAAATCACCATGAATTCCGGTGTTGCCGCTGCTAATCTTCTGCGAGCGCTCCATTCTCTCTATCAGCTTGGTCACTTCTGTGACGTGACCATTCGCACAGACTGTCCTGGAAGCCAAGAGGACTTTTTCGTTCACAAAGCTGTCCTGGCAGCTTCCAGCAACTACTTTAAAAGCTTGTTCCTTAGCGAGGAGACATTGAATGCCAAGAACTGTAGCGTGACACTCCAGGACATTCGCACTGAAGAATTCGTCACCTTCCTAAAGTTTGTCTACACGACCGAAGTAGAAATTGAAGTGGACAAAGTGCACCGCTTGAAGGCAGTGGCCAAAAGACTGGAATGCAAGGATCTGCTTGATGCCTTGGAAGAAACGAGGGCTGGGGGCCCAAAGGAGTCGGATTTGAGTGTTCATTTAAGAAGACCTGAAAAGTCTCTGTGGAGCCCGGCTGAGCAGGAAGGAGACCAGGAAGAGAGCGATTCGTCCCAAATTTTGGCCACACCAATGAAGAGAAACCTTTGGGACAGAAAAAACTGTGTAAAAGTGTCAACTAGCTATGACTTCCCTGAAAGTAAATGTGGACAGTTGAACAAAGATAGGGTAACTCTTGGTGAGCCTGAAGATGAAAAAGCAGCGTCACCCGGACACTACAAAGGAGAGAGACCCGATGCTCTCGATGCAGGCAACGTCGCCCAAGAAGAAGGTGAACCTCTAAATCAGGTGGACTCAACCTACGTAACGACCAAGATGCTTCCCGGCCAGAAGGAGGGTGAGAGCAGTTTGATTCTGAGTGGCACCAAGCTTAGAAAATTGCCACGTGGCATGTCCAAAGTCCTGCCACAACCGCACACGTGTGACACGTGTGACCGCTCCTTCCGCTTTGCCAAGCAGTACCAGTCGCACATGGAACTGGAGCACGGCCTGAATCTGGCCGTTGAGCACAGCTGCCATGTGTGTGGCCAGCGCTTTGCCAGCCGCCAAAACCTGAAACAGCACCGGCTCACCACTCACGATGACGAGCGACGCTTCCCCTGCCTGCTGTGCGACAAAAAATTTCAGTGCCAGAAAGATGTCAATGACCACGTCCGGAGAGTGCACGAAAAGAAGCATAATCCTCAGCGGTGCCCCTACTGTGACAAGGTTATCAGCTCCAAATGTGGCCTGACGGTTCACATTCGCACACACACAGGAGAGAAGCCTTATAAATGTGGAGGCTGCCCGGCCAGCTTTGCTCAGAGGTCGACGTTTAATACTCATGTCAGGTACGGTCTTTTCCATTGTGTATTCCGGAGTCTTGGGAGACAGGTTTTCAACATTCCCAG